TGGTATTCAGTTTTTTAGCAAGGAGCAGATAACAGAGGGCCTCTCTGGAATGATAGTTACCAAGGTAAGTTAACACTCAGGCGTTCCTCTGGCCCGTAGCCCTCCCAGTCGACGAGGTACTGGTGGCCCCGATCTCGCCGCCGGGAGGCAACAATCCGGCAGACGGTGAAGGCCGGATGGCCATCTATGTCACAGGTGGGTGGAGGGGGTTCGGCTGGAGGGCAAAGTTCACTGGATAGGACGGGCTTGATCTGGGATACATGGAAGGTCGGATGGATGCGCAGAGACGAAGGGAGTCGAAGTCTCCTTGAAGGGGCCAATGAACCTGGGAGACAACTTCTTTGACATAGACTTAAGGGGAACATCACGTGTCGACAGCCATACCTTCTGACCTACGGAGTACGTCGGGGCAGGGGTTTGTCGGCCTGCCTGTCGTTTATTAACTGTAGATGTGTTGAGTGGAGATGGTATCGTTCTAGATCTTATGGCTTCTGTGGATGTGATGCTGGACCGATGTGTTACACTCGTCAGAAGGTAGGAGTGGTGGTTGATAACCCAGGACTATTTCGAAAGGAGACAGACCAGTAGCTGCAGAAATGTGGCTGTTGTGTGCGTACTCTACCCACGGAAGGTGTTGGGCCCAGTCATCGGGGTTGGTGGAGGTGAGACATCGCAGGGTGGCCTCAAGCTCCTGGTTCATGCGCTCCGTTTGCCCGTTGGTTTGGGGATGGTATCCAGAGCTGAGAGCCACCTTGGCTCCTAGAGCGGAGCAGAACTGGTGCCAGACCCGCGAGACAAACTGGGGCCCACGATCTGAGAGGATCTCCTGGGGAATCCCGTGAAGCTTAAACGCATGCTTTATAAGAAACATGGCAGTCTGAGCAGCAGTAGGTAATTTGCGAAGAGGAATGAGATGACAGGCTTTGGAAAGACGGTCGATTATGGTCATACCTTTAGACACAGGGAGTCCGGTAACGAAGTCGATGGATTCTTCCCGTCCAAGGCAGAGACACGGAGAGGAACTGGCAGGCGTTCCACCTTGACAGAACTGGTGAATAACTTCAGAACAGATTAAATTTTGTTCGCAACTTGAATCGATGAGCCGACAAGGAAAGTGAATCATTGGGGTGGAATAAAGTGGCTGAACGATGAAACGGGGTTTGGTTGAGGATGGTTCCGGCAGTCTCCCCGCTCTCACTGCCAGACCTGCGGGTTTAAACGGACGGGACAGTTGGCGATCACAAGGTTTGGCTCGCCACAATAGAGACAGAGCCGGGAGCGCATCCTCCTTTGGCGCTCTTCGGGTGTGAGCCTCGTGTCCCCCAATTGCATGGGTTCGGGTTCTTGAGCTGGGGAGAAAGGAGATGAATGCACGACTACTGGTCAGAGACGCAAGGGGAAAAAACTCAGTGGGTTTGTTCCCTAGCGTGGATACGATTATCCAACTTTATAAATTCATCCAGTGAGTCTGGCTCATCCAGCGTAGCAAGTTCATCCTTTAGCCCATGAAAAAAGGCGCTTTTGAGAGCAGCTGCGTTCCAGCCAGAAGCAGCAGCTTTAATTCTAAAGTCTATGGCGAAATCTGAAACACTTCTCTGGCCCCGCTTTAGCCCATGTAGATCTCTGGAAGCGGACGACTTTTTGGTTTCTTGGCAAAATACTTGTTTTAATTCGGTTAGAAACTCAGAAGCTGTACATCCATAATTAGCTGCAGTTATGAATCGGGCTTCTGCCCACTCTAAGGCTCAACCCGTCAAGGATAACACGAAAGATATTTTTGCCTCGTCATGCGGGAAACTTTGTGGAGAGTGGTTAAATACAATTGTACATTGGAGTATAAATCCTTTAACTTTCTTAATGTCACCTGAAAATTTCTCCGGTGTGGCTGGGCGGACCTCTGAAAATCCGGAACGGACGGGCGGATCTGGAGTTGCTGGTGGAGCAGGAGAGTGGTTAGGAACCTGTTGTACTGAATTCTGCAGAAAAGTAGAAAGTTCGGATAGTCGACGGTTTGTTTCTGCTTGGCGGTTCCCTAGTTCTCTTAACGCCGAGTCATGGGACTGAATTAAAGTGTATTGATCAGATAAGGCTCTTCTGATCGAGTCTGCGGAGGTCGTGATCTGGCCTGAGTGTTCTGTCATGTTGGTATTCAGTTTTCGAACCCACATGCAAGAACACAACCAGAAGAGTCAGAGTAGTGAACAATAATAATGAGTATTGAATCCAGGGGGAAAATGGGGAGAGGAAATGGATGCTGGAGCGAATGACCGTGTCGTCTTACTGTCAACGAGAGGCAGATGGTTAGAGGAGGAAGGTGAGTATTTTCCAGGAGTGAATCGAACAGGTTCTTACTTGATATGACGGCGAGTTAGCGAGCAGAGCGCTGAAGGATGGAGCTTCGTTGGAGAGCGGACAGGTTTGTTACGGCGGAACGAGCGGAGTCCGACTTGGACCAGTTGTACCTTTTCTCCAGACTGGGTTCGGGCTTGGACTGACAGATCCTTCTCTTGCGTCCCGAAGGGGAATCCACTGGAGACGGACCGAAGACAGGGGGGAGAGGCGAACACACGGGAAGTGGCGTCCGACCGGTAACATCGCCAGCGTCGTCGAGGGAGGACACACGAGGAAGGTAACTCACAGACAGCACGGATCACAGGCTCACTCTGAGCTCGGAGCAGACAGCACTCAAGGGAACAACGAGGAGGTAACAGGATCACCTGGCGAGGAGGACAACAAGAAATTAGCAAGGAGCAGATAACAGAGGGCCTTTCTCTGGAACGATAGTTACCAAGGTAAGTTAACACTCAGGCAATGAGAAGTCGTTCAGCCGCTGCTTATATCTGAAATCCACGCCCTCCAAACGAGCCACAGGTGTGGCCACGGGGTTACCCCTGCAGCATATCAGGGGCTCTGCATCTGGCGGCATCTAATGGATGCCCAGAAGAATGACAGTGCTCCAAAAAATAAAACTCAAACCAAAACAAAGAAAAAAGACTAACGAAATTAACAGAAAAAACACAGATCCTGACAGGATGTCCTGCCCCAAGTGGAGGAGTTCAAGTATCAGGAAAACAATTAAAGTTTCACTGTGGCACACTTAAATTGTTTACACCCATCATGGTAGGAAAATAAATACATTTTCTTCACTGAATAAATGTTGTCAATTCAAGGTTGGACACATTTTTCAGTGTAAGAATACAATAGGAATTCATTAGCTCACATATCCTGGCAAAGTTTCTGAAGTTTATATCATTTTTCAGAGAATATGAATGATAAAACAAAAATAAGTATTTCCCTCATTGTTAGTATTTAACTGAAGCCATTCATTATCCAACAATATTTGCACTTTTTAAACAAAGAATGACTGAATTAATAACTACCATAATGACCCTCCTTTGCTGCTTCTCCCACCACACAGGCAGTGAAATCAAACAATGTTTAGAACATTCATTCATTTTCACGCTTATAGAACATCGCAGTGAACTAAAAGTAAAAATTGTCCCCTCTAATTCCTAGAGTACCAAACCTACATCCAGGTTTGGTGTGAACCTACATTTAAAGCTGCAGTATGCTATTTTAATTTAAAAAAAAAAAATGCTTTTTACTTATTTTTTAAAACTGTCACCATGTCCATGGTCCACTGTCTTACATGGTTATCCCATACACAGGAAGAACATGCAAACTCCATAGACTGACCCACCAAGGCATGCCTGACGTTTGCAGTTAACAATAGTCACCCCACTAACTCAGAGACTTTCATGTGATATTTAGCGGCATATTAGAGAAAATAAAATGCTCTCAGCCAAAATCTGAGAGCATTTTTGGCTCTAAAAAATGCTTAAAAAGATCGGGAATCAGCCCTATAAGTGCATTTAGTGTGCCCCTTCTTAACATAGAATATATACACATATACTTATGATACACTTTGATTAAATTATTCAATTATTAAGTTATTCCAATAGCTAAACATTAAATTTATACCAAGTGAGTCTTTCTTGCCAAAGAATGTGGACCTGTACTGGACTGATTCTCTACCTTCACATAATTTTAACAGCTCCTGGAGAAGTTTCATAACTTATATGTTGATGTAAAAATAATATTTGCTTTAGCCACACAAATTATTATGCTCAGCAGCAAACAACATATCGCCAACTACAGCTTAGAGTAGCTCATTGATAAATCAACATGTAACCATTGTGGCCTGATGTAAAAACATTTTGCTAAACAAGGTCAAACATTGAGAGGTTTCAATTATTGTCATCAAACATATAGGGCAAACCATTAATCAACTAATTTAAAGTTAGAACCCAGTTTCACAGAAATACAAAGATGCTAGGATAATTGTTTTCCTGTTGAACTGGACCGTTCAAGGTCGTTATCACACTAATATTCTATTAGCAGCTCTTCAGTTCTTTTTGATAAACATCACATTACCAAGACACATGAAAACATACCTTGATCTTTGCTTTTTTCTCTTCTTCCTCATTCTTTTTCTGTCCCTGAAGAATAAGTCTTTTTTGTGACATTGCTTTGGTAACTTATCTCAGCCCTCCCTAAGCAGCCGTTTAGTTTGCTTATGCCCTAGGCTGACCTTGAGAATCCCTCATCTTCCATTTTTCTTCTTAAGTAAATCCCAAGCAGTTGTAGTGAATATGTCTATTTCCTTTTCTTTTTAATTAGAGGTTTAACACTTCTGATTGATGTTTTGAATTACTTGAGCATCTTTTCATGTCCTTTTCTGGTTCTATAAAGTCCAGCTACCCTCAATGCAATTATTTTTGCCTTTGTTGTGGTATTAAATGCAATAACTTAGGTGCATCCCTGCAAAGAACTTTCAGACATAGTAATTACAAGAAACAGATCATGGATGAGGATGGGTTTGAGGATATTTAAACTCATGTGCAACTACTTGTGTGCATCTTATGGCCAAAACATCTGGTTATATAAACTTTTAATCAGAAATGCTCCCGGTTGAAGTGTGCCTCCTCTCATCTCTGCAGTACCCTTACACCCTGGGCTTCAGCTTGGCTCTCTGTTGGTGTCTGTTGGTCTGTTCCAGCCGGATCTACATGGGGATGCACTCAGTCCTGGTATGTCTCACACACAGTCTCAAACATGGTGCCACCTTTGACACTTCCAGCCCCAAGTAAAGCTGAAGAATTATCAGTGGTTTATTTACATTACATTAATCATTAGCCGATGCGTCATGCCATAACTGAACATGCTTAGGGAGACGCAAAATGCCAATATTAATAAACATTCTCTTGTGATAATGGTGCAAATAAAGATTTTGGATAAAATCAAAAAAGTATTGATAACCTGATCTCTTCATGAGACTGTCTTAGTCAGAGGTATCTTCAAATTCAAGAGCTACAATAGATTTTTGCTGCCCAAAGCCATCACCAACTACAGTGACTCTTTAATGAAATGAATTACAACAACATTTAATATCCCTTTTGGATCAAAAAATTACTTTTGAATATGAATGTGAATATAATATGCTGAAGTGCTCACCAATCACCACTGTTAACATCCTTCTGCATGCAAGCAAAGTATAGAACATAATTATCTGTTCATGACTTTTTGAAGTAACTCCTATCACTGACATTAAAGACACTTTTCCACCAGCACATCGCACACTAACTAGTTAATGTGGGCTCAGTCCTTCCCCACATAGCGAGCTTTTCCATTATACAGTCTGTTCCTCATTATTGTGGGCGGGACATGAGCAGCAGCAGCAGCTGTGGTCAACTCTGCTGATGTTAACGCTCTGCAATGGAGAACCTCAAGGTTCTGGTTCTGATGGACTCAGATAAACTCAGATATTTTATTTTGTCTTATAGAAATTTATTGCTGGCCAAACATAATGATAAAGACTCATAACTGAGTCTAACTGAACATATAAATATTATAAACATTCTGGCACTTTATGTTTTAAAATGTGCAACCTTTTGGATTTAGGTAAAGCAGTCAAAATATGTAAACTAATAGCCACACATGAAATTATTTTTTTAAATCCACGTTAAAAATAAAATTCACATCACAAGTTAATATGTAGTTCTGGTGTTTCAAACTAACAGCGCAAAACTGCAGCTCCATCAGAAAGCTGACCACAGCTGCAGTGTTTCTCTCTTTTTTATCACTGTCCATTCTTCAGAGAGAGGAGCTGCTAGCAGCGCTGCTAATTCATGGTCATTCTGCTGCAAAACTTACTGCATGTCTTTCAGGTGCTGCTCCTGATTAAACTCATAATTAAACCCCTCATACTGAGCAGCTCTTTGATGGCATATCCGCAGCTAAACTACATGATGTTTGGAGTTTTCAGTGACATAAATCACGAGCCAATTAGCAGCTGTTAATCAAATGGTGTTGGTGTTGTACCCTGCTCGGTGCTGCTAGAATTACCCTTGAAGTAAGTATGAAAATCTGAGAACAGCCGGGCAGAACCACACCGGATCTGTTAATGGAAAATGAATCTGGCCGGGGCAGAACGGGACCGAACCGGTTAGTGGCGGTGTAGTAGAACAGCGCTGTTGACTCAGATTTTAACCACCTCTGATTCTTTTGGTCTCTCAGAACTTCTTTGATGGCTTTTTAGTCCAACAGAAAATTATTTACTATATTACCTCCTTTAATGTACCAAAGCATGTGTTTCTAAGCTTGATCTGACTCTCATGAAAACCATAAAAGATGCATTACAGTAGCTGTTTATGCATTTATAAGCTGAAAATGTTGGAAGGTCATTTCATAGTTTGCAGGATTTTAGTAGAACTTCTAATCAAGGGAAAATTTTCAGATTCCCATCCCAGTATGTTTTCTCTGCTTCATGCAGACAGCAGTCATGCTGTGGATTCACAGATTCTTTCTGTGCTTCTTCCCTGCAGGACGTCATCGCTGGCATCCTGTACAGCATCCTCATCCTCTTCTTCTTTCTCCCTGCATTGGACATGATTGACAGCTTCAACCTGAGCTCCCGCTACGCTCCGCTGGTCATCGTTTCCATACCCCTGGCCCTGGCCCTCTTCTCATTCACCCTGGACACCTGGAGCACTTCTCGAGGTGACACGGCTCAGATCCTGGGTGTGGGTGCTGGCGTGGCCCTGGCGTCTCATGTAAACCAGCTCCTAGGTTTGATGCCAGACCTGACGGCGGATCAGCTCCCTCTCATGGTGCCTACTGTAAGTGGCGGCCTGGTGTGTAGCGCTATTCTGCGGTTGGTTCTGGGAGTGATAGTCCTTGTGGCGATACGGGCCCTGATGAAGGCCATCACCATTCCACTGGTGTGCTGGCTGTTCAGGGTGCCCAGCTCAGACTTGAGGAAGGCCCGGCAGCATGTGGAGGTAGAACTCCCGTACCGCTACATTGTTTATGGGACCATGGGCTTTAGTGTGCTCTTCCTGGTTCCACTGCTCTTCGCCTACGTGGAGAACGCATGAATGCATGTAACTTAAATGCATGGTCAGTCTCCAGCCAGGAATTGGAGAGCCAGCATTTCAATACTGTTTTTGCATCTCCATGTAAAACCAGACTTTTTCCTCTTCCACAGGAAGTTAGGACCACAACTGACTGAGATGCATTAAAGCCTTAACACTGAACTCCTTCCTCTCTTTCTTAACCTTTCTGCTGTTTTTTCCAACAGACTCAGGTTAGCTCTGGAGAAGGAGGAGGGTGAGGGAGAATGTCTTTTAAGTGGCACTGTCTTTTATAAGATGTATTTTGTAAGATGAACCTGTGGAAAGACAAACCTATCTATGTTGGTGGGTTTTTTTTTTACACTAAATAACCACACCGATGCCTTTTTAAAGACATAGTTCAAGAATTTTAATGAGAGGTTTTGCTGAAAGGTTATAAGCAGATAATATCTAACCTGCAGTAGATTGCCTCTGACTATGCCTGGACCTGGTGCTTTCATAGTCATATTGACCATTCAAAGTGCTTCACATTAACACACCCGACACTGGATCAGTTGGTAACTTGGGGTGAAGTGCTTCCTCCTAGGGGCCAGTTGGGAGAATTGTCCTCAAATACAAGCATACAGTCCTAACCTTAGGCACTATGATAAGATCAAATGCAGACTATGCAGCTTAGCCACATTTATTTAACACCTTGTATAATCAAATAAGAATACATTCGGCATTCTCACTTCTTAAGATTGTGTTTCTCTTTATTATTATTTTTCAGTGTTCCATACATTTTTCTGCACTTAACTAATTCTGCCATTGTTTATATATGAATTTCAACAATTCATATATCAAAATGTTCTGCTTCTTCTGGAGCATTTTGCTATGACTTTTGGTAAATTCAACTATTATACTTTTTGAAATACAATTACAAATTTTTTCCAGATTTCAACCCCATTGAAATGCATTGAAATTCTTCAGAATTCCACAAAATTCAGCAAAAACGTTTGCTCTTTTATGGTTCACAACTTCTGCCTACTTCAACCTAAAAGCTCCATTCGACTTTTAAGCAAGACACAATATGTTAAGAAATCTTCAGATGATCCAGCTTTCTGATACCGCTTATGCTTTTTCTAATATTCCAATTTAAGTTTTATACAGATTTTTGGCCATTGACAGAACTTAGCCAAATGGGGGAATTTTTCTGCCATAATCCAAGAGCACACATGTTCATTCTGAAACCAAGATTTAATGTCTTTTGTTCTCAAAACTTGTAACACTTTTGCTTACATTTTCATTTTGAAAGCAGGACTTCATGTCTTTCTTAAAACTTGTAATGATTGTACTCAAAGCTTCTCCTCGCGCTCACACTTAGTCTCTGCTTGGAGCAAATCTTTGCTTGTAAAACTCTGCTCACTTGGAAGCATTTTCCTGCCATAATTCAAGAGCACACATATTCAGGCTGAAAACAGGATATCATGTCTTTTGTTCTCAAAACTTTTAATACTTTTGCTTACATTTTCATTTTGAAAGCAGGACTTCATGTCTTTCTTCTCAAAACGTGTAACTCTTATACTCAAAATAAGAGTTACAGCTCTTATACTCTTCACACTCACACTTAGTATCTGCTCGGACTCTCCACTCACTTACGAAACATGGAACTGCCTTTTGGCACAGTCGCCTAGCAACCTCTCAGCCAATAGAATAAAAGTGTTGTACTGGGTGTGTTTGTTTCCTTCTAGCGGGTGTGCCTGTGTGGCTACTATCGATTGTAGCAACCTGCACCACCCACGGGATGTAGGGAGAAACAACGACGTCAGCTTTGTGCTCTGTGTTTCACTAAACATCCACCAGCAGTGTGCTACTGATTGCTTACAGCTACTGATCTTCAGCAGGATTTTGTTCACCCAACCAAAAACAACATAGTCATGACATGATATCTATCATGTGTATCTATCTTTACACCACTGCATCCGACACTTTACATTGTCCTTGGTGATGTTCGGCTTGGATGCAACTGGTTACCATGGAAGCCCATTCCATGAAGCTCTCTGTGCACTGTTCTTGGGCTAATCTGAAGGCCACATGAAGTTTGGAGGTCTGTAGTGACTGACTCTGCAGAAAGTTGGTGATGTCTTCGTTCTATGTGCTCCAGCATAGATGTTTAGATTGTGCTTCATAATAGCCTAAACAAATCAAACAAAAACCAACATGCTGAGTTGTTTTTTGAAAAACCAGAGCATGTGAAGCATAATCTAAACAGATTTACACTATAGTTAGACTCCTGATAATGCCATAAAAACAGTGAAAGTTTGTTCTTTAGAACAACTTTATGAAAATATAACCCTAGTTTTACCTAACATATCTTGTGAAAATGTCACATGTTTTAGCACAGTGTTTCTCAACCCTGATCCTCATCGCCCCCTGCTCTGCATGTTTTAGATGTGCCTCTATTCCAGAACAGCTGATTCAAATGATTGCATGACCATCAAGTACTGCAGAAGCCTGTTAATCACCAGAGATACAATTCAGGTGTGTGGCAGAAGGGAAACACCTAAAACATGCAGGACAGGGGGGCGGTGAGGACCAGGGTTGAGAAACACTGTTTTAGCATATCTTCAACCATAAAATGTTAAGGTTATAACTTTCTCGTCACAATCATTTTTAAAAGCCCAGATTAATTTTGCTGGAGGCTGAGACTAATGAACAGTCTGAAGTGTACATATCGTAAGTTTTATCAGTCTCTGTTTAAATAACCGTTCAAATTATCGTTAACATAAATTGCTTTGTTAGTTTTTAGATGGTAGAATTCTGCTTGACTAGCATTTAGCTTCATCCTCTGGGTCCAGCTACTGTAGATTTGGTGTTCATTTGGTATTCACTAAATGAACACCAATAAAATCATCTACCACAGGTAAGATACTGACTCACATTAAAAATAACAGAACCTCATTAAAAATACTGAACTGTCCCTTTAATACCCCCCCGACTCTGTACAGCTAAATTATCCCTGGTTATTTTATAAAGATGTTAAAATTTCAGTTTTAGTATTTCTTTAAATGAAACAAGGGCACTTTTAGAAAACTTCCTCATGAATTTCACATGCAATAAAATCCAATTGAAAGGTAAAAGATTAAAAAGAAATGAGGCAATGACTTTCTCAGGAGAAGCTAAAACTATTTTGTTAACCCACTGAATGTTCAGATGTGGTTCTTTGTTCCAAAGAGTTTCCTTTAACTCCTTCTATTCCTTTGCCTGAAAACGTTCATGATTGTTTAAGACCCAACACTGTTTGTGTAGTGTGTTTCAGTGTGTTTAAAGACGGTGATCTTGTATATCTTACAGAACCTCACATTAAAAATGCTGAACTGTCCCTGGTATATATGAAACTGATATATTTAAGGTTTCCTTTAATTGCACATGTGTAGTGGAATCCACCGTACAACTACTGAAGGGCTTTTCCTATTGTTTTGGCTTTTATAGACAACCTTCCAGTTTGTCACTCTGGGGTAAATTGTTGCTGTTCCTCCAACACAGTGAAATGTTTCTCCTGAGCAGTTCACTCCTTCACCAAGTCTTCCCTCACTTCTTTCTTGTGCATAACCACTTTGTCCCTTTCTTCTTCTACTACATCTCCTTAAACTGATTTTCTTTCTAAGTACTTTACATTTTCACATCAGTTTATTTAGCTTAAACACTTCTCCTGAATTTAAATTCGGTTATGTGTATAATTCAACTAAACACGCTCATGAGCCGCCAGGTTTTCTGAAGAGATGTAGGAGGCTCTGAAAATAAATTTTAGATTTCATATTTTAGGGATATACAGAAAAACTGACAAATATGTAAAAAGATTTAGTCATTAAAAGTTTGACTAAAACCAAAATGAATACAGCAAACTAAATTCTACCTAAAAAATAATTACGTCTTTCTGATAGATCACTTGTATTTGAGTGATATAAACTAATTTTCTTCCAGTATGTCAGTCAAAGTGACCAATTTAGCAGATAGGGTACATTCTTTGACACGTTGCTCCTTTTGTACCTCAAAAAGCAGGTATGAATGGCACAGAAGTGCAATAGTATGAAATGGCGAAGGGGTGAGCTGAGCAGCTCTTTGGAACATGTCTCTGTTTTTTATTTTGATGATTGCTTTTTGCTTTTTCCTGTTAGTGTGAACCCTAATGTCCCGTTTAGATCATTTGTGATGAAATACATATCCTACTTGTATTGAAGATTGATTCTGCCATAGCTTGAATATAAACTTATATTTCAAATATGAAGAGGGACATTTGTATGAAAATATTACTTTATATAAGTCTATTGATGGGACTGCAACCCAAAAGAGTGAAAATTTTTGTACAGCCACAGTCAATTCAACGTGAACATATAACCTATGCATGCAGGACTTGAGTATGCCACACTGCAAGCTCACACATATTAGTCCATCAATAAATGTAAACCAAGTTCCAGGAGTTCATCTTCCTGTTAGTGTCAGACACTAAGATAATGGAGAGAAGGAAGAGGAGACAGCAACTCATAGCTGAAAAAGGAGGGCAAAAACTAGATAGGGTATCTTGCAACATTTTTATTTTCCCAGGTAAAATCAGACTGATATCTGCCAAAGGTCTTTTTTAGGTTGAGAAACAACAGAATTTGGTGTATTTGTCACACTGAACAACCACTAATATTGGCTTTTGCAACCTGACTTTTCTTCTAATGTCATTTATTAGAAAGTTTGTTGAAAAAGGCACACATGGTATAAACCTGACTTTAATAAACAAACAGTTTCTCAAAGCTACATTTAGCTAATGGGTTGTCTGCTCGTTGGCTGACTGCTAACTGGCTGCTGGCTAGCTGCTGGAGCAGGTAGCTGGGCTAGTTATCCCCCTGATTCAGGTTGTGGTATTCTGTGAAGAGCAGAACAGCAAAAAGGTTGAATATTCTGGACAAAATGAATGTAAAACATCAGCAAATAAAAAAAAAAAATTAAAATAAAAAAAAACTTATAAATGACATTGTTATATCTTTAATAATTAGTGTTATTTTAGCAGCAGACAGAATATTTGTTGGGTGTGTGTGTGGATTGCAAGCAGTCAACAATCAATATCTGCAAGCAGCCATCATTTAATTATAAAGTGATTGTACACAATGTCCTTTCATAAGAGCACCAATAGATCACCTAAGTGTTAATTATGTGTTTCCATGTTCCAAAGGTTACATACATGTTTTTATACGAATCTGTAACGTTTCAGAAAGTGTCCAACAATCAATTGCTCATTGTCTTTGTTTATAATAGATTATATTTTTTAATGAAATTATTTAGTTATGAAGGCAGAGCCCAAAACATTTCTGAGATATACTGAGTAGACTATCATACAGAAAGTTTTTAATCATCTTTTTCCTGAATTTTTAAATCTTATTAGAATATTTAATCTTTTATTCTGCTTTGCACACTGTTTAATTTGTTTTTAAATCGGGAAAACATTAATGTCATTGAATGGCATTTTGGAGTTTCCATTTATGAGGCTCCCAGATAAACATGTCATGGGTTGATTTTATTGTTTGTTTTTTCAATAAATTAAAAAAAAAATAAAAAATGTTTTTCTTAGCCTCATTTACATACCTTCCAGTTTAATCCTTGTGCGTACGAGGACTCAGGCAAATGATACAAGTGATACGGGTGTGGGGTCAGTTGGACCCCACACCTGTGGGTTAAGAAACATCCAGAGCAACCAGAGGGCTAAAGAGTCCCCAGCAGAATGTTTCCATGTCTGTGTCCTTTGTGTTCCAACCAACATCATATTATAAAACTGTACTATAGATATATAAATATTTGTTACAAATAGTTTAGTTTAGAAAATTATTTTGCTATAATAATGTTTGAAATAATTTACTTAAAATGTGTTCTTACACATCGGTTTAGGGCAGGGGTGTCAAACTTGAGTCCTCAAGCGCCACTGTCCCTTGTCCTGCAGTTTTAGATGTGCCACAGGCACAAAACACTGGAATGAAATGGCTTAATTACCTCCTCCTTGTGTAGATATGTTCTCTAGAGCCTTGCTAATGACCTAATTATTCTATTCAGGTGTGGTGCAGCAGAGGCACATCTAAAAGCTGCAGGGCAGTGGCCCTCCAGGACTGGAGTTTGATACCTGTGGTTTCGGGTAATGATCATATGAGACAACGGGATCTGTGGAGTTCTTCAAGAGAAGGCACAGAGCAGCCGATGGTATTCTGGGCAGCTTTTCTGATTTTCTGAAGAGTCTTCCTCTGTGCTACTGTGAAGCTGAAGAACCACACACAGAGACAATAGCAGATTATGCTTTTAACAGAGTATCAATAGAAGGACACCAGCAGGTTTTGAGAAATATTGTTTCTCCTGAGGACTCTCGGCAAATAGTCTCTGCCTTCTTTGCCAGTTCTGCTGTGTTTACATCACAGGCCAGATTGTCCATGATACGAACTCCCAGGAAACAGAAGTTTGACACCCTCTCCATCCACCCTGTCTCTGCAAATATTTAGTGGTTGAATATCTCCTTTACTTCTAAAATCCAGTATGATCTCCTTGGTCTTGGCTGTGTTTTGGATCAAGTTATCATCTTTGCACCACACTGTAAGTTGCTCCCCCTTGTGCCTGTAGGCAGATTCATCCCCCCTGAGATGAGACCCACTACAGTTGTGTCGTCTGCAAATGTCAACAAGGATGCTACTTTGGAGGACTTATACATAATCATGTGTATGGTGGTGGCAGCATCATCCTCTGGATGTTTATGGAGCTAAATACAGAACAATCCTGGAGGAAAACCTGGGAGACTGGGATGGAGGTTCTTCTTCCAGGAGGACAATGACCCTAAGCATACAGCCAAGGCTGTAATAGAATGAAACATTGTATCAAAAATAATATATATTTTTCCATCTCTTTCTTTCTTTTAGCACCTTCTATCTCTCAGGTTGAAGAGAAAGCAGATCGTGATGCAAAAATAGTTGGGATCCGTTTTTGCCACTGCTGTCAGTTCTTCTAGTTCTCCACCAGATGGAGTCAGGGAGCACGGCTGGTTTGGTGAGCTGCACCAGGTGTGCAAATCATCTACCTTCATTTAAGAGGAGTCTGCTGCCAGTCGGGTTTCTCGGAAACGAGAGAGTTAGCTTGCAGCTGGGTGGTTGGCATAAACTGGTTTGTGACTGGATTAGGATGACAACTGGTGATGGGCAAATGAAGCCTCATGAAGCAATGAACCTTTCCAGCCCTTTGCTTTGCAAAAAGGTTCGTTACTTGATGCTTCATTCATTGCTCTATAGTGACATCTGCTGGTGAAACTAACAGTCTTGTCACTCAGTTGGATCATATTTCCAAAAAGTACTAAATGCAATATTGTCAAAGTTTTCATCAAACTCATGTTTAGTAACAGGATAATCAATGAAACCATATTTGTCATATGTTTTAATTACAATTATTT